ATCGCTGCAGGGGCAGCGTTTTTCATGCCGAGTGCTATTATTACTTATTAATAATATAAAAATGATAAATAAGACGACAGTATACTCAATAAAATTATTGAATTATATATCATAAATAATAATAAAAGAAGTTTTTTTTTTTTGAGAAAATATGCAGCGATTTTTATTTTTGTTTTGTCAGATGCCCTTTTGGTTAATTTTTTTTTTTGATGTGCCGTTTTAGTTTTTTTAAAGAAAAAGCAGCGATCTTTAATTAATTTTTTTTTTTTTTTTACAAAATCGCTGCTGTGGCAGCGATTTTAATTAACAAAAAAAAAAAAAAATTTAGACGAAATTGCTGCTATTTCGTCAATTTGTCAGAGGAAAATTGCTGCTGACGCAGCGATTTTGCCCTTTTGGAATTTTTGACAATTTTTTTTGCCTTTTAGGCTCCGGACTCGAATTTGTATGCTTAGGGAGAGAGACAAGCCATAGAGTTAGCATATCTATATATATATATATATATATATATATGTGTGATTCACACTTGAATATAATAAATCTAAATAAATTACATCTAATTTGACCTGCATGTATCTAACGATACGGAAGGTAATTTGTTAAAAACTACAACCCAAACGAATTTGTGTTATTTGCTTTTTGAAATAATTGGATCAACGTCTTAGGGGATCTTTCTTTAATTATCTTTTTGTAAGATTCATTTCGTAGTTAGTTTAAATAATATCTTACATTATATTGTGTTCAATTACATCTACAAAAATAATAATTTTGTAAAACTAATTACTGTGGGTATCCTTTTAAAATATTATTAATTACAACCAATTTAACATTAATAAACCTTACTCATCAGGCCTTTTGAATCTTGATAGGGCATTCACACTTAAGAGTCTCTGATATGCATATAACATGTACGATATTAATAGTAATTAATTTATATCACATTATCTTGTAAAGACCGTTTTAAAAAATTTGATGTTACTTCAAAATTTTAAAATGATTTTACAATTTTTATCTATCCTTGGTCATGTAAAGCTTTTATAGCTACAAAAAAAAGTTACGACATATTTAATTAACATAATTATTATTTGTTGAAAGTCTTACTTTTAATGGAATTATATCACATAAATTAAAATACAAAATTGCATTTTCCCTACTAAGTTATCGGATTTAGAGTTGATGGATTCTAAATTTTTAAAAAGGCGGTTTATTGTATTTTGAAACAAAAATCTTAACCTATATTCCTTGGATTTATTCTCCTGCCAAATATTGTTGCACTCGTATCTAATCCTTTCACCACTAATATACAATCTTAACATATTTTTAAATAGTCGGAGCAATAAAAATACGATAGTAAAACTGTAGCTGCGCTGACTAGAGATACCTTTATACATGGAAGTAAAAATGCAAATCTAGAATATAAAGCATCGATCTCCTTAGATGCATTTGAAGAGGCAAATTAAGGGAATGGGGTTGTGGTTTCTTCTCAATAATATATGAGTATGCCCTAGCTCTTTTTCCTTGTTTTTCTCCAAGACAAGGTGACCTAATATCATGAGTACTTTTTATTTTTTTGTGTTGAAAAATGACAGCTTTATTATTCTCGTACACACATTTTTGCATGGATATTTTTTAGATTCAGTCTACATAAATAGAGTCATTAGTACATATACTATGCTTTTAGATAACGTGTCTTCTTGTTAGATATCTTAAATTGGGAGTCCCCAATCCCCCCTTTTCTTCTTTTTTTCTCTAGTGCTCTGATTGGAACCTATTGGTTGTTCAAGTACAAAAATATATGTGGTCATAAATGTAATATTCCATTATTCCACTCTGGCTGCCAATTCAAAACTATATCTATATACATCGATCGTACAATTCCTAGATATTTGGTTACAATTGACATGGTACATATTTGCTTGGTAAATAAGTGTGTGTTATGCTTTTTGGATAATCACTCAAACATTCCAATTTATAATTTCTACTACAATTTTAACCTAAGTTTTTCGAAGAATATCTTTGTAATAGTAAGTGTTTGACCTTATAATTTAGGAGAAAATTATGCGGATAAACAAACATATATTAGTTAATTAGCTAATAGTTATACTTTGTATATGACATATATACAAATACAATTCACCTTTCTCCGTTCTCTGCCCTCTCTCGCTCGCCTCCCTCTCTCAATCTCACTCGCCTCTCTCCTTCCTCTCCCAATCTCGCTCGCCAGATATACAAATACATATGTATACCAGTTACATATATACAATTATCTGACAGATATATACATATATACAATTCGACAGATATACAAATACAATTCATCTCTCTCCACTCTCTGCCCTCTCTTGATCACCTCTCTCCTCCCTCTCTCAATCTCGCTTGCCTCTCTCCTCCCTCTAACATGTAGCTACGAATCGTAATTTACAAACTATAGGTATAAAGCCTAATTAAGTTATCTTTAGTAGCTATTTACGAAATTCTCCCTTTAATTTATCCGGTGTATATTGATCAAAGTGAAGTGAGTTTCAGATTCCTAAAGCATCTAAAAGAGAGAATAATTTCTTCTATATAATCACTAAAAAAACATGTTGGGATAAGATAAGGGAAATGGAGACCGGTAAATAAATAAGTCAATCTGTGGAATATAATTATACTCGAATTCAACTTTTTGAGAATTTTTAAACTGGCCCTAAAATTGTGGGTTGTCTTAATTAGTCTTGAATTTGATTATTGTTATCATTTATTCACGGTCAAATCCATCGTTAGCCATCTAAAGTTGGCACAAAATTTCACTTAGAGACCTTAACTAGCTAATGTTCATTTTAGACACCTCAGGTAGGATCTCACTGTGTCATTTTGATACTTTTCGCTGACATGACATGATAAGTGTAATGCACCCAAAATCAGCGCGTGGATGGGCTCTTTTTCAGGCCAAAAAAATAATATTTAAAAGGTCAAAAATATTCTTCTTACTCATTCTCTCCTCCACCACACACCATCCATTCACCACCTCTGCCACCATCGCTATTAATACAATCAAATTAATTTTTTAATTTTTTCAGTTTCGGAAATCACCACAATCATCGTCATCTTCTCATTCTTATTCTTTAGATCCAACAATTACTACTTTTATTGCAATCTTTCAAGTTCAGTGCTACACACCATTGTACATTTATCACACCCATCAAGTTCATATATGCATAGATTCATTCTAAACGGGAGGGACTACAACGTATAAATAATACATAGCATTCGTATATGTGCTCCTTTTATAGTTTTATTCCTTTTGAAGGCATTGTATATAATATTAGATACACAATTAAAAAGCATGAAATTGATAACATACAAATTAAATCTACAACAAAAAAAAAAATGAAAATCTGAATTTAATAAAAACCCCAAAAAGAAAAAAAACAAAAGAAGAAATTAGGGGTAAAGAGGAGGCACCGGAAAAGTTTGGAAGAATGAGGAAAAAGGGGTGGGATAGTTTGGTGGGATTTTAGAAACTAAATGCTTTTATTTATTTATTTTGGCTGAAAATTATTTTTTCCTTATAATGTATTTTTAAAGTATTATTTTATACTTAAATATCACGTGTCTTTCCTTAATTAGCCATTATATTACATTATTCGTGAGTGTGTTACACGCACAATGTAATTTTAGCGGATTGTCAAAAAAGTGTCAAAATGACACAACGGGATCCTACAGAGCGGAATGTTGGTTGGTCAATAACTCGTGTGTACGTTAAAAAGATGAAAGTATCAATAATGAGGTGTTGAGATGGATTAGTGGGCATACTCGGAGATATAGGATAAAGAACACTATGATAATCAAATAATGTAATAGTGACCTTCATGGTGGAAAAGATGAGGTAGGTGAGACTAAAATATAGATGCACCAATGAGGACTAGGTGTGAGAGGTTGACTATTGTGAATGTGAGGAATAGAAATATACCGAAAAATTATTGGAGAGCGGGGATATACACATTCTTACGAGGAAGTAGGAAGTACACTATGTTGCTTAGACTAGTCTCCTGAGTCCTTTTATAATGACCTTAATTATGTTTATTAAATAAGTAAATCTTTTGTTACCAATTTTATTTTATTTTTAAAAAAAATCACAAAATGATATATAGGTGTAGTAAATTAATGTTAGAATTGAAGCACATAGGTAGGTGTGGGTACAATTAATAATAAAGTTTTTGTAAGAGAGAATCTGCAGTACCTAGGAGGAGTACTCATAAATAGATAGGAACGGAGAATCAAATCTGGAGGAATTTGTGGAAACAAATGAAGTATGAGACTTAAGCTGCATTTGACTGTACACAGTCAAAAAAGAAAATCTGAACATGTCATTTCGAGAGTTTTTGGATTTAGTTTAACATATTTATAAAAATAAATAAATAAATAAAGTCGTATGATGGTAAATCCTCTATTCCAATTTGCTATTAATGATTTTAAGATTTCTGCATTTTATCTTAAAAGTTTAATCTCAAGTTACTATATTTAAAATTTATGAAGTAATAATCATAATAATTAATAGTAAGTAACCCCACGATATATAATACGAGTAACAATTAAGAAATGATAAACTGAAAAATAGAGATGATCTTATTGTATCATAAGTCTTGGTCAAGAAATACATATTTCATAATATCGAATTTTGTGACGATAGAAAATCATGATGATCTCCCGTCAAATTAAGGTAAAAATTGTCTTGATCAAGACTGCTTGTTTGTATTTAATTCACTTAAAATGTAATTTAAGAAATAATTACTTTATAATACGGAAATCATATTTGGAACAATAATATCCAAGTTATAAAATACGCATCGAAGCTTAAAATGTGTTGGAGTTCAGAAATTTCAAATGTGAATTGAAACTGCAGTAAGACTTGATGGAGTTTCGACTATTTTGCCTAATTTTCTGTTAATCAAGATGTGAAAAAGTTGAGGATGGAAAAGGAAAAATATATAGACAAGAAAATTAAACATGTAGTAGTACATGACAAAACACACATAGATATCTACTAATAGTCTTAAACATTAACTGAAGAGGGTGAACAACAATATATTATATATATATTAAAAAAGCATATAGTAGTAGTAGTCCGTCCACTAATTAATTGTAGATATGGGATGGAGCATAAATTGATATATATATCAACGCCTTCTAGCGGCAGTTTCCCTCTGGCAATTGAAGAAAACAGCAGCAACTGGTGAGCCAAGTTCATTTTCTTCTGAGAATTTTCGACTACTAAATTGATCTCTCGACACTGGTGCACTTGATATTGTTTGCCTTTTCTTCTGCTTAAACAGCAAAAATACAAACCTGTGGATTCCAATATTTGGCCTTGGCATTTCATACCCAACCACTTCTCTTCCTAAAATATATATATATATATATATATTATAAACAACTTTTTATTTGACAACTTATACAACACTACTTTCACTATGAATTAATCTCCAATTTGTTTGAAAAAATAATATTGTACAATCATGTCGAAAGATAATATACATATATATTTTTCTGGAATAATTTTACTAATTTTTTAAATGCATGCTTACGTGTAAAAAGAGAAACCAATTGTAAGTATATTTTTTCATATAGGACCGGAATTAGGAGGTAAACACTTTATTTCTTTTTGCTGTTTATTTTTATTATTAAATAATTAAGAATCAATACCTGATCCTATCACCACCAGGAAAATTATAATTTATTTTTCTACTAATAATATAAAGAAAATATGTAGTGAGTTCTTAGTTTTAATTTGTTAGTCTATTTGGAATAGAGTTAAAAAAAAAGTAATATATTTTTGAATCTTGATATCTTACATTAAAAAAAATTGTACTAAAATATCATTTATTCTTATTATCTTAAACATATCATATAAAAACTGAAAGTAAAGACTTATAAAAAAGGAAATATAATTTATTCTTTTGTAGTATATATTAATGGCAAATAAAAATAAAGTATTATTTTGAATTTAGGGGTTAAGGATTCATACCAAAAGAGCAATCTGTAGTGCCTGGAATGTCTGTGACAATCCTGTAAAGATGGTCAAATCCTCTTTTCAGTTACTTATTTGTCAACTACCAATATTGAACAAAATATGTCACTTTGATTCTATCATATTAAATCGAGTACGTTTTTTCCGTTACACATAATAATATCACCATTTTGCAGTCTTCTTTTTTGGTATATAACATATAAGGAGAACAAGTAGTAATTAATTTAGTACAATTATTGGACATTTTTTTTTAATTTTCCAGTCTAATCAAATGTCACAAAAACTGTCCGACAACTTCTTTGTATGGTATATGAGTACATGTGAGTTTTTTGGTAAAGTTTCCAAATTTAAGGATTTCTAACTCAAGATTATTATACAAATTTATAAACATCGGTATATTGACTAACATTTTTCAAGTTAATTAATAATACTCCTAGTACATATTATTCAAGTTCAATAGAAAGTACATGTTCCTCATCTTTATTGTAGTATTGAATATATAAATATGATTATCTGTTTTTCTAAAGTGACACTTATTTTGAGACGACAGGAGAGTACAAATACTCCTGTATAATGATCATGTCATTTCCCCTTCCAATTAGTAAACGATTGAAGACAAAATTGACTGAGTTAGTTTATAGGCATACGTCTATACCAGTGTAGATGTTCCCTGAGATATGGATCGCTAGGACCAGGAACATCTGGATCTATCATGACCTGTCAAATAATGTACAAAAGAAAAGGAGAGGTCAAATATTCATAAATAATAGAAGAGAAATGTACTCCTCATATCATCTTGTCCGTCCCAATTTATTCGACACTACTTAGCTGGTTATGACCGTTCAAGAAAGATAAGATTTTTTTTAAAAAAAAGTTATGGTCTTAAATAATTTTTAAACATTTCTAAAACTATGAACCGTCTCATTAAGTTAAAACAGAAAGAGTGTGACATAAATTAGGACAAAGAGACAGAGTAAATTAAAAGTAGCGAAGATTAATACCAGTGTGAAGAAGGATCTGAGATCACCACCATGAACTTCAACCCTAGGTTTAGAAGTTACTGAGGAAGGAAAGAATTCATGACCATTATAGACATGTTTGTTGTTGTTATAAACAACAGACATCTTAACACTTGGACAGAAATTATCAACAACTTCACCAATCACTCTACCAATCACAAGGGGTTCACACATTTTGGAAGCAATATATATATATATATATATATATAGTTATTATAATTATAAGAAACAAAACAAAATCTATTTAAAGAGTTGTAGTGGTTTTTTGGTGGAGAAAAGAAGAGCAAAATACCAATATTTATAGTGGCCCTAAGATCATTAGAGAGTCAGATGGGATAGGGACTAAAATATTGATAGTTCAAAAAATAGGGAACCAAATTAAAGAAATGAAAAGCACAAAAAGGTTATTCTCTTCCCGTGCTACAAAATTATAAAGTCATAGCTTAATTAGCAGCTAGAGAAAGAATATGTGTCTATTTTATTTGCGTTTGCCCCATCAAAAAAAAAAGTACTCCCTCTATCCTAAAAAGATTATGTGTGTTCGATATGAAGAAAAAATATTGTATACGAAAATATAGTCTATATAAATACTATGAAAGGTGAGAGCATGTGTATTGAGATGGTTGTAGGGTTGAAGATTAGGTATGTTGAAGAATGAAAAAGACACGATCATATGGAATAGCACTCATGAGACTTGTTTTTCATACTTTCATTTAGGAAGTTATTTTCCTTACTTTAAAGCAACTTGTTTACCTAGGGAGAATTTTTTTAAATATTTTTAACCAATCTTTCCTCACGAGATGAATAGTTTCCTTATAAGACTTGAATATTTCTCCTCCCGTTCGAGCTATTTTATGGAATTGAGTCAAATTTGAAATTTATTTCTTTCGCATTTTTGTCTTAAAGAAAGTTCAATAATGTTATTCCAAACACAATTAGTAAAAAGAATTATATTTGAGAATTGGCTATAAACTTAATCGTATATATGTCCCTGAAAAAAGTTAGATAATACAGTTGTCCCTCAAAACAAAATTAGCCATCTTTTGTCATTTGTAATTGTATATTATACTAATAAATATGTATATCTACTCGAACGTTACGCCAATGGTGAAGACAGAAACCATACTTTATATTAGTGAAAATGTTATAGTACAAATTAGACTAAATGTTGTACTACCAATTTATGTGAATGTGGAGTAAAATGTAATGGTAAGTACTAGGGGTGTGCACTTGGATTAAATCAAAAAATCAAATCAAATTCTAATTTGAATTGGTTTTTTGGTTTTTTGGATTTTTGGTTTGGTTTTAGATTTATAATTTATTTTGTTTGGTTTTTTGGTTTGGTTTCGGATTTAGAAAAATGAAAATCGAAAAATCAAAAAAATCAAATTATATATATATATATATATATATATATATATATATATATAGATATAAATGTATGTTTAGAATTACGTTGGAGTTAACCACTTTTGTCTCTTTTTAGTTATTTTCATTATGGTTTAGTTTATTTTTTATGTTTAGACATCTATACTATAATTGATATACTTTTAAGTATTGTGTTACGTTTTACTTGTGATTTATATTTAAAAGTATATTTAAGAAATTCAATAATATATATATATATATATATATATATATATATATATATATATATATATTATTTTCAAATTGCAAATATAACTTTGTTATGTTTCTAATTATTGACATAACTGATTAACCGAACTGAAAAAACTCAAACCAAAACAATAAAAACCAAATCAAAACCAAATTTATTTTGATTCGGATTGGGTTACACTTCTTCAAAATCAAAAATCCCAAAAATCTAAATTGAATAGTATAAAACCAAATCGAAAAACTGAATGCACCCCGCTAGCAAATACAAACTAAATATTGTACTAATTAGTTACTGTAACATTTTATGTCGGAATTATTTTCCACATATCGAAAACCAAACTACCCTGGACTATTAGAAGAAAATGTATGTCCCTATACAATTAACCCTTAAACAGGAATTGCTGTTCAAGGGTAAAATTTAATTTTGGGGAAACACATAATTAATTGACTATTTTAATTAAGGGTGTGTTTCATATGTTTTATCATATTTGGCTATGTTAAATGTATTTTTGGATCTAATTCAAACTTAAAAAATAGTTTATGGGAAAAAGATTTATTTAACCAGATCTCATTTATTTTTACTAAAATTAATTTTGAATCTAAATACACATTTGAATAAAAATAAATGGATAGAGATGGTTTGTAATAATGGTTATTGTTAGTGATTAGTATTAATAGTTAGTGATATTGACGGCGGTGGTTGAAGAACATATGGTAATTGACAATTGTTGATAGTAAGTGATGGCGGTGCTAGTTATGATAGTGAAGATGGTTTGTAGTAGGGATTGACCGCAGGGATTGTAGTGGTTGATAGTGGTGGTGGAGGTGGTAGCAATGGTGAGGATGGTGATGGTGACACTGGATATAATTATAATAATGAATGTGGAAGATATGGTAGCAACTAATAATATATAGTGATTGACAATGGTAGTGATTGTGATGACAATGATTGTTGATGGTAATGGTTAGTCGTTGATGACAATAATGATAGTGGGGGTGATGTGAGGATAGAGATGGTTAGTGACGGTGATAGTTGGTGATTGAATAAAATATTAACAAAAATTACACGCAAAATACCTTTTAATATTATCATATCTATCGGCTCAACAACTTCCTAATTAAGTACTACAAAGAATGAGCCATACTATAATAAGGAGACCATTCATACCTTTTTCATCTGATGTAATTATATTTTAAGACCAGTCTCACAATAAGGCTGGACATTCGAGCCTAGGAAATTTAATATGGAGAATCAATATTGTAAAAAATAAGAATTGAGATGTAATATGAAGAATCAATATTGTAAAAAATAAGAATTGAGATGGGTTATACTCTAATTTTTTTTTTCATAAACAACATTTCATTACTCATCTAATACCACCCAACCCCACACCCCTAGCTCCCTATGTGCAACCTAAATTACATACAAATATTTTTATGACAATTTTTTTTTAAAAATTATCATAATCAAACATCAAACATCAGAGATAAGTGAGAAACACACAACACTCTAAAAGGAAAATCAGATGGAATTTGCAGATACCATCTTGGACATTCTCAAGCTACTTAAAGCATCAAACAAACTTTTGTATTTAAGGTAACAAAAAGTTGCAACTTTTCCTAATAATTTTTCCTTTTTTATTAATAAATATTTAAAAAAAGGGAACTTGAGTGATAACCAAATTAAATTAAATTGTAGGCTAGGTAGGCGTATAAAGGGAGAGTAGTAGTCCACCACCTGCAGCCTACAAACAATTAATAGTGGTAGCCAAGGTCAAGTCATATCAACAAAAAAGAAACTCAATTTATGCAGCTTTATAACTCCTAGTAGTAGAAAGAAGAAGCATACTATTAATAGAATTCTCAATTTACCTTCTTCTCCATATTCCTTTTTATAATATCCCTATTTTGAGAATCAAATAATTTAATTTTAATTGTGAAATATAAATATATATTTTAAAATAAAATTTTATATATTTAAGAATTATGTCAAAAATACAGTAATTTATAATAATTAATAATTTAAAATACTTTTTAAATACATCAAGAAAAAACTTGTTTAAGTCTTGAAATTTAAAAATATCATACAAATTGAGACAAATGAAATATTTCATTTCTCCTTAATTTTCAAATGAATTATATATGTTGCACTTTTCAAACTGTAGCACAGATTATTGCTGATGATCAATGAAACAAGCGGATTAAAATGAGTTGAATTAATAAATCAAGTGGATTTAGTCGTCATTTCTAATTAAAATAAACAATATATACTCAATTTAATTCCAAAAGGGTATTGAGATGTAATGCAACTTTATTCTTATCTTGTAAAGATAGAAAAATTATATCAAATAAAATTACAAATCAAGTAAATCATTTAAAAAATCGCAAGTATATAATACATTTAATAAAGAATCTAAAGAAAAGAACAGTATACAATATCGAAAACAAATGAAACAACAAATACTACTATATAGAGATAAGTACTTTTTAAAAAAGTTTTTAAGTATAATAAAAACGAAGAAAACATGTATTTGTGAATAAATTAAGTTAATAGTACTTGCTTTGTTCCTAGTAGATATCAAATTTGACTGCAACTGACACAAAGGAAGCTACCTTTATGCATAAACTCTGGGGAGACATTAGAAATTTATTTGAGAGTTAGTGTTTAATCTTAAAAATGAATTTATTTGACGTAAATTTAAATTAATCGAGAATCTTATTTGATCAGAGAATTTGTCTCCTTGTTTTTGAACTCAAACAAAAAAATTTAAAATATTTGTGTTGCTCTTTGAAAAGTAAGTAGATCCTATTTAACATATATATTATTTAAATTGTGTTTGATTATACATATTATTTGCAAAAATATTTTTATCGTAGCTAGAAGTTTCAAAAATTTAGTTAGTGTTTGGTTATAAATTTCGAAATATTTTTTAAAAGTGGGTTTTGGTGAAATTTGTATTGAAGTGTCAAAATGTGTTTGACAATAATTTTAGAATATATATTTCACCTTTTAAAAAAATAAATAAAAAAATGATTGACAATAGCCAAAACTCTAAAAAGTCATAAACAAAATATCTATAAGTTTGGCACGAAATTATCATTTTTATAATGAACTAACTAATACATTATTCTAAAACTATAACACAATATTTTAAGAAAAACTTCTACTAATACAATCATTGGCTTCTACAGTTCATCAAATAACAATTAGTTACAAAGATTCATTAATACAAAAAAATTTGATAATAACTAATTATTCTTTAATATAATTTTTCCATATTCTACAAACAATCTATTCACGATAAATATACATTTTCAAATCAGATGACTGACACAATATTTTTAATTAGTTGGGGTAGTAAAATTACTTTTTTAATATATAAAATATAAAAGTTAAGAATAAGTTTTAAAATACAAAAAAAAATTAGGAGCTATTTTCTAAATAGATTTTGGGATTTGATTTATAGAATCTCTCAAAAACTAGATAAATTTTATGGTCAAATTGATATTTACCAAATTTCGACCCTTCGGGTGGTCCAGTGGTTTGGGACTTTCATGTTGGAGGTCTCAAATTTGAAATCCCTTGCCAGCGAAAGTAAGGGGTTTGCCTTCTGAGTCGAGCTCATCGTGCCGGGCTTGCCTAATGCGGGTTA